ACTCAAGACTAACAGAGATTATAGCTATACTAGGACATGTGTCTATAATAGCTAGAATTTATAGAAATGTAACTCAAATTGTTCGTGCCATATGGTAGTTAGTACACTTTCCTACCGGTCATAGCGTATGCGGCGGGGTATGCAAAATGAAAACGAAACGTCACGAATTCTATTTTTATCCTCAATCACAGGTCGGAGCAATTCCTCTGTTTAGTCGCATGTCTAGTGACTAGTGCGGTGTGTGTGACACGGTGACAGTGTATCATGTGTGTGTGAAAGAGTGGATTTACGATCATGTATTGCCATTATTTGCGCCAAAATAGTATCAAAACTCATGCAAATGTTTGTAAACGTGATATTTACAAGACTGTTGCTAGATTTATCAATGATCGGTGTGTCTGCTGTCAATGTCAACTGCTTTATCATGATTATACCACGAACATAATATATATCGATATGTACACGATTACACTTATATTTAATCTTTGTACATTTAAACAAGACGTCAACGATCGCTGTATGCCAGCTGCGTGAGCGTGATTCATAAACTGAGTGCAATACTGTGGCATGTCATGAATGCAGGCATGCACATGCACGCAGATGCACAAAGATGATGACATGCATGCACACGCACACACACACATGTACACACATATTATACACATGCGCGCGCGCACACTAACACTCACACATACACGTGCGCAGACATGCACAGGCACACACATACACACAGCGAGGGGGTGATGTGTAGTTATATATACTAACTTGCATTGAAAATAATCTCAAATTATTATTCATTAACTATGTTTCAGAAATGTAAGGAACATCAACAAGTTAAACGAGACAGAAATAAAGCTAGGTATATCAGGGAAGAACTCGTGGCACAACCAGTATAAAGACAGTGCTTGGATCTTTATTGGTGGACTACCGTATGATCTGACTGAAGGGGATATTATATGTGTGTTTTCCCAGTAAGTGTGTGTATTGGATGTTATTTTAAGTACGTAGTGAATGAATATTATGTATATGAAATAACATATTTTATATGAATAATACGTAATCTTATTTATATGGGTCGTTGTGATGTAGATTTATTATTATATATGTTTGTTATCAGTGTACGTGCACATGTGTGTGCGTGTGTGTTTGTGTCGGGTCAGTTATTTTTATTAGTTGCAATATAATCGGCTGAAATTAACGTTCTTGTGATGTGGAAAGTTTTCTGAACAATTTTTTGACAGGTATGGTGAAATAGCGAACATAAATCTGGTACGTGACAAGAAGACCGGAAAAACAAAAGGCTTCTGTTTTCTTTGTTATGAAGATCAACGAAGTACGATTCTTGCTGTGGACAACTTTAACAGCACAAAGGTATGCCATGTTTCAGGAACGTTACCAATCCATTTAATCCCGCTTTTATTTACGAAAACATTATTATAAAGTAATTGTATGTGTATGCTCATTCTGTGCATGCATGTGGTATAATTGGGGTATAATATTAGTAATATATGTACAGATGCAGTAAATGCATTAGGCATATGCACATATTATTTTTGCTCTTTTTTATTATTCAATTCCTCTCTACTGCTAACTCGTCTAGTCTTCCTATCCCTCATGTGCCCTAATACACCTCTTTCTCATCTTCTCTCTCTCCTAATGTCTCTCTTCGTCTCTCTCTTCTCCTCTCTCTCTCTCTTCTTTCTCTCTTCATTCTCTGTCTGCGCTTCTTTCGCATCTCTCTTCTCTCTCTCTCACTTCTCTGTCTCATCTACTCTCTCTTCGTATCTTCTATCTCTTTCTCCCTTCTCTGGTATTTGTTCTCCTATCCCTCCTGTGCCTAGGACACCTCTTTTCTCATCTTCTTCCTCTGTCGAGATCTACCCTCTATTCCCTAATCCTTCCATGGTCTATCACGCCCTTCTTGTCGGCCGTCTCCTCGTCCACGTACCCTGCACCCTCCCCGATCCTGCGACGTCGACGAACCTCCGCCTCCCCGCCGATCTTCTTCGTCGTTCCTCCGCGATCCTACCACTCCGGCCGATCTGGACTGTCAGTCTGAGGTAAGTGTCGTCACCGCGCGACCTCCGATCTGGCGACTTCGTTAGAGGTCACTGACAGGGTCACACCGCGGGGGGAAGCCTCCATCTGGCGACCGCCGACCTTAGTCTAGAAGTCACGCAGGAGTCACCGCCGCGGACCTCGTCTGCGCGCTGTCTAGAGCGTCACCGCAAGGGTCACCACGCCGGCCTTGCCACATCTCTGGCGGAACCGCGACCTTCGTCTAGAAGGTCACCGCAGGGTCACCACCGCGACCTTATCGGCGACCGCCGACACCTTCTGTCTAGAGGTTCACCACCGGGTCACCGCTGCGACCTCCGTCCGGCGATGGCGACCTTCGCCTAGAGGTCACAAGGGGCGTGCCGGGGTCGGGACGTTGCGTTCGATCGCCGACGCAGGAGCGTTCACGGGCAGCGGCGCTGGCGGGAAGGATTGCGTACTTTCATTCCTCTGTATTCACTCTCGGGTACGCGTCCGGCCGCGCGGTGAGGGCGAGAGAGATTCGCGGCGTCGGATTCCGCCTTCTTCGTCCCGGAATCGGAATCCGAATCGGATGCGAAGCCTCGTCGGCTTGCTGCCGCTGCTGCTGCGTCTCTTCCGCCTTCTTCTTGTTCTTTTCTTCTCTTTCTTGTGCTTCTTCTTCTCCTTCTTTTTCTTCTTCTTCTTCTCTGTTCGTCGGCGAAAGAAAATTTTTTCGGAGAGTGAGGACGCAAATCCGAGATGACGAAACGGGAAGCGAGTCTGACGCTAATCGGAGAGGATGGAGAATTAAATAGGACGTGAAACGTGAAGATTGCTCTCACGAGACTTGCCATGTTTATTCGTGTATAAGTCACACTTTTTTGTCCACAACATCAATAAATGAAAGTGTCAATGACACTGTAAGCTCACACAAAAAGGGACACAACGAATGAGGTGAGTGAGCAGAAGTCTCAGTTATTAATGAGAGCCCTCGACGTAACCATTATAGACAACGATTGACCATCTAGTATATCGCAATAAATAAATTTATTAAACAAAATGAATCACAACTTTCGTGGCCGTGACGATGGCGCTTATACCCGCCTTGTTAGCGATGGCGTTTGAAATAATAGGTCTCATGTGAGTTCGAATGTTTTGGTAAAACTTTACTCAAATTACTAGACGTTTAACGGCAGGATGAAGAGGAAAATTATGCATTAAAGATATTAGTCAATGAAATCTTTGTAACGAACAGGACACGATGTGTGTGACACAGGCTGTGCTGATGTGCTATATAATATGCCCTATATAATTTCCAACCTACCTAATTTGCATAATTTTTTTTTTAATATCAAAAACCTAGACTTATTCAGGTCAATTTACAAAATGAGCAAAATCCGCTTGAACCTGAACTGACTATGGCAATTCCGTTTTGACAAAAAATTGCGTGGCTCGAAAAGTAGATGACTGGCAGTGGCTTCATAGGCGTTTATATGGGAGATAAGCGCGTTACAACTATACCCCATTTACAACCATGTGGAGTCAAACGGTTCCTGAGTTTATTCGTTGACCGTGAGCGAAATGTGACAGAAGTGGGTTGGTTGACGGACGGACAGGACGGAACGGACGGACGACGGCGGACGTACGCGGTACTCATCAGAACCGGAGCGAGAGAGACGTACGACATCGGACGACAGATCCGATGCAATTAGCTCGGCATTTGACGTGTCAGGTGGAGCTAAAAAATCAGAGGTTGCGACTTATACACGAAGCTAAGGCGAAATGCTATGTGTGTAAATGTACACAACTCGCCTGTTCGTGGCTAACTTTTCAAGGGCAAATCAGGTAGCGACCTTATGCACGATAGACGGCTGATATACACGAGTTAAAAACTCGCGTAGCCTAATATCTACCCGTTCTTCACTCCCATGCTTTTTTCTCAAATTGCCACGACGCGGTTTTTGCACACGACGACGACATGCAGAGAGGTGCGGTAACTCGTCGTGTGGGATAGCATTACCTTTTCCCTCCTTCTTAATCGGTATTACAGAATTGTCACCCTCTTCTTCTTGCTTCACTGGCTGAATAAGCTTGGGTGCACAACCCTCGGCGTGCAGCTTTTCGCGTGATGTCATCTTCATTCTCGTGCTCTTTGGGAGGCTTGTAGTTTGAAACGTGATCAACCCTTAACGTTCTTCCTAACAACTGTTGAGGGAATATATATAAACATATGTGTATACAATAATGAATCTACCTCACAACAACCCACACACAAGTAAGTAATGTGAAAAGAAACTTAATCAAAATATAAATTTAATTAATAATTTTTTAATCTAATATCAATCTATCATTCGGTACTCTATGTAATTATTAGCTAATTATCATTTAATTCGAATAACTATAAAAGNTATGATCCTCTCTCGCTCACGAGCATGAGACCATCTGGTTAAATTCTATCGGCACCGTTGATCCATCCTTGCATGCCAGTATGATCCTCTCTCGCTCACGAGCATGAGACCATCTGGTTAAATTCTATCGGCACCGTTGATCCATCCTTGCATGCCAGTATGATCCTCTCTCGCTCACGAGCATGAGACCATCTGGTTAAATTCTATCGGCACCGTTGATCCATCCTTGCATGCCAGTATGATCCTCTCTCGCTCACCATGAGACCATCTGGTTAAATTCTATCGGCACCGTTGATCCATCCTTGCATGCCAGTATGATCCTCTCTCGCTCACCACGGCAACACTGGCAGTTAATCTGCGAACCGAGTAATGGTTGGTAAGAATGAATTATTGTGACTCTTGCCTTAGAGGAGCTCAATATATGTTCACTGGTTCGCAAGATTGCAGTGGCTCATGAGAATACCCGGTCCAATAATCACGCGTATTGTAATGTTATCAACACTAACCATTGGTGACATAAATTACATCTCAGATGGCGAAGTCTACCTATAATAACAAAGTACATATGGGTTAATATTATGAGAGCTAGGGTCCATGATCTCGCAACGTCAAGAGGAAACTTGCGAGCATTTTTCATCGACTAAACATTACTCTTAACGGAATTTTTCTCGTAGGCCACTAACGGAATTTTTTTTTCGTAATGTAATTACGAGGACGCAAGCGGAGATGACGTGTATAGGGCCGTAGGCGGAGCAAATTCCTAGGGGGGCAGTGGCGGATCCAGGATTTCAAGGAGAGAGTGAGAAAAGGGTAAGGTCTGGAAGTCCTCCCACAGAAAATTTTGAAAATGTAGATCGTAGGAGATGGTATATGAGGCACTTTTGAGTACATGTACAGCCTTCATTCTGACTACGACAATTCTCCTTTAGTAGAACAATTTATTTTTTTAAATATTGTTTCAAAATCTAGGGAGGGCAGCTGCCCCCCCTAAAATGATTTTTTTTATTGATGTTGTGGACAAAAAAGTGACCCGGCGGTGACCTCTAGACGAAGGTCGCGGTCGCCAGATGGAGGTCGTGGTGGTGACCCTGCGGTGACCTCTAGACGAAGGTCGCGGATGGAGGTCGCGGGGAGGAACGACGAAGAGATCGCGGGGACGGCGGAGGTCGGTACGACGATCACAGAAACGGGGTGGGCAGGGACGTAGAGAGGAGACGGCGAGAGGAAGGGCGTGATAGACATGGGAGGGTAGACTGGTAGTTGTTTTAGCCATAGTCTAACTAGACAGAGCGTCGCGCAACAAGATGCGCGGCTACATTGATGTATTAGGGAGAATGGTAGACGTGGTTAGGTTAGACAGATTAGAGGGTCATTGTGAAATGGGGGGTAGGACGCGGTCTGTGAGAACGGTTACATGTGCGGGCAGTATGTTTGTAGAAGTTTTGGGGGTAATAGAGAGGACAGAGATGTAGGAAGGGGAGGCTGGTTCTGG